TACAGTAACATTTCCTCAGCAACCATGTTTGCATTAATGCATCTTATATGAGGGTAGTCGATTGTACAGTAACATTTCCTCAGCAACCATGTTTGCATTAATGCATCTTATATGAGGGTAGTCTATTGTACAGTAACATTTACTCGGCAACCATGTTTGCATTAATGCATCTAATATGAGGGTAGTCGGTAGTACAGTAACATTTCATCAGCAACCATGTTTGCATTGATTGCTTTTGATGTTAGCTCAGCTAGGTAACTCGTATAAGAACTTGATTTGCCTTACTCTTGGTTCAATTGTGAAATTATATTATTAAAAAACAATGTCAGTTTAGGAAACTGACATCATACGCTCAATCTAAAGATAAAATTATAAATTATTCATACGCCCATTCACTCACTAGTAATCATGTAAAATGATAATAATAGTCAATGACTGTCTTTTAATTCATCGAACAATCATACACATGCAATGTAGTGGAAATTCCGGAAAGTGACAAGATCTTTTTTTCTTAATGTCATAATTGGAAAGTAGTTAATAGTAATTCTAATAATTTTAATTTTTCTAATTTTTAGGGATTAAAAACACCGCAAGTAGTCGAATAATATCAAGCCGTTCAGAGCAAAGACTGAATGGATCGTGTCGTCTAATTTATGATTCGAATGCAAGCAGAAATCAGGTATGCAAAATGTATTCGTAATAATGGGATAAACAAAAAAAAAGAATGTCTCAACAAAACGCAATTACCATGTCAAAAGTGTTGCTCTGAGCGTCAATCTCAGTTGATATAAATTCCTCAATGTTGATTGATGTTCATTGTTCTTGATCATAGAGTCAGCGTGAAGAAATGTTCTTACGCTTTATCTTAGCCCGATTCCTGCACAGACTTTCATGGAAATGTCATATTTATAGCACGTGTGCTCTGCTGTTAACGCACTGCACAAGTAAAAACTCACGTGATTCATTAATATTATAACATTGATATTTAGTTTTGTTGGTGGTTTCGATACGAGAACGAAAATTTTAATTTTTCGCATTTAAATTATTTTCAAGCGCTTGGTTGCAAATGCCTTACAATTTCTGCAAATCCGTTTCGATCATTGAATAGTTTGAAATTATATATCACCGCAATTGAGCAAAAAAATTTAGGCCAGGCTGCGAATATCAGTACATTAATGATGTCGGCGCAGCTTGACAATTCAGTAGTTAAATATTATATATTTATATTCATAAATATCATATTTATTATATATTTATATTCATATGCAATCTGCTGCAATATTTCAGTAGCAGTGTGAGTGATGCGCAAACGTCGGCGTGACCACAACGATATAAGAGATACGTCAGCTGAGTGGCAAGGCTCAGGTTCACCACAGCACGTCAGCGACTGGGCGTGGGTAAGTTATTCCAGTGTAGGCAAGGCTCTAGGAATTGATAATTTGAACGTAACATTTACTTATATTCATATACATATAAATCTGAAAAATTGGAAGTTGTTGGATATCGGGAGATCCGTTGTTGGTTTTGGTTTTGGAGACCCTAACATAATGTTCTGTCACAGGCGACACATTTGACAGTGAGAAATTTGACACCTCCAAGATCATCATTAATGATCTTGGAGGTTTTATTCTACCGCTTCAAGATTCCTTTTGTTGATGTCATAATTCAGTGGGGTATATGGTCGTAAAATTAACTAAACCAATCATTCAACGTAATGGTAGAAGGTTTACGACTTGATTATTTAGCAAGAAGTTTTCAAAGGAAGGCGCGGAATAGAAATTGCCATTAATCTGAAAGTCTCGCATTCTATAATCGCGTCATCATTCATTTTTCGATGTGTTTTTTGAATTTTTTTCCAAATTTGTTACGAACATATTTTGAATGGACATGTCTGAAATTTACTTAATATTCCTGTGCAATTTCATAAATATGTGTCTGAGATTCGTCCTTTGGTTTTCTGAACTTTGTCCATCCCTCGTAGCTTTGGACAAATAATCTAAGCGTTTTGAGTATCATGTTTTTCCAGCCTATGCGAATCCTGTTCCCAAACCTCGTCAATTCGATCCTAGCCAATTTCAATCCCCTCACTGAATCCGATGAAACCTGGAATCCTGCCATCCAGAATCGTGTCATCCTGAATTATTTTGTCCTAAATCTTAAAGTCTCTCAACAATCATAAAACTCAGATTTTCACATTCCTATTTGTAAATAAAACTCCATATGTTTTGATCCAACGCCTTTCTACACATTTTATAATACATCATGATTTGACGGAAATTCAGTAACCCATTGATGAAATTTAGCTCGAAATTTCCCCTTACTCGAGTAATTCGCCCATTTAATTTTCACCTCAATTACAAAATCAATTAATCATCCTAGCCACACAGTTCAAGCCTTTGATAAATCGGCTGTCAATCGATGAAGAGTGGTGTTTAAAAATAGTATGAATAACCAAATTGCACTGCATTTGAAAGGAGATCAATTTTTAACGTTAGTGTTTAGCGATAACTCTTTATGCATAAAAGAGAGAGCAAAATTATCGCTTGCATAAATAATTACAAATGAATAATACAACTAGGATGAAAATAGAATTTGCTCGTTGTTGATTCTATAGAATCAATTCAAATTTACTCGCATTGCATCTTATTGATCAAAATCAGTGTTCTGTGCATCAGATGAACGAGTAATTTATCCACGCACATTGCACTACTTTAAATAAAATAGTAATTATGAAAACCTCTTGATAAATTTCTTCCAGCGCGTTCGGTTTGAAAATGGTATCAATGGATTTGTCCCCAAATGTAAAATCATAACTTCATATCCTCTACGAATTTACATCTTGACAACGGCAATTTCGTATTGTTCAGGCTGCCATATAAACATGAAATCGACCAAAATTCAGTTCACGTGGTTCTCACTTGAACGTGAAAAAAGTATTGTCATAAATGAAGATCTTCATTATGATTGGATCATTAGCATTAGGGCATCTTTTTGTGGATCATGAGCATTAATCAGTTTCATTAAAAGTTAGGTATTCCTGATTTAATGTTTTAAGTTTCCTTTGGCGTAACCTCGTGGAGGTATGACATATTCGTTATTCAGTGCGCTTATTCATTGTTATGTGGCGGTATGTGATGTACTTATTCATTGTTATGTGGCGGTATGCGATGTACTTATTCATTGTTTACTGTACTTATCCATTGTTATGTGGGGGTATACGGTGTACTTATTCATTATTTACCACGGAGGTACGTGTTTAGTATAATGTCGGTTTATTTAGTCTTGACCTTCCGAAAATCTATTAGTGTGACAGACGATCATGAATTCTGTTATTTAGATTCTATTGCTGCTATTGTTCGCTTGTCAAGTTTTTCGTTGTATACTGCTTTGGTGTTGATGCAAGTTCTTAATTTGTGTTCATTTATGTATTTTAAAAAGGCTACGTAAATGATTGGATCATCGGCAAAATCAGCGTAATCTCCTGCAGTTAAAAACTTCTACAGGGTCCGCCATACTTATGGCAACGCATGTTTTTTGTTGTTTCTCAATGAAACAAACAGGTACATTTTTTTGTATTGGATGAGCTAGTAGCCGAGAATTACCTAAAGAATTGTCAGACATATTTATTCAATAAGACCACCCTTATTTTTAATGACTGCCTCCAATCTACGCAGGAAAGCTTCACAGGATCAAGTCCCATTCTCGTGTCAATTTAGATTTCAAACTTTCCAAAGAGTCATGAGGTGTTCTGCAGATTATACTTTATAAAATAGCCCACACAGAAAAGTCGAGAAGATTAAAATCAGGGTTTCTTCATTTTTGCTAATGAACGCTGGCATGTGACCCTGAATCCAGTTTTGGGTCATGCTTGAGCCATGTGATGGGGTAGAGTCTTGTTGAAAACTCCATGGTGAGCCGTTGAAGTGTTTACGGCCCAAGGTAAACAACACAGCTTCCAAAATGTCCGAAATGTATCGCTGACTGTTCAATTTCACTCCTGAGGGGACAAAAACGAGTGGGGACCTCCCAGTGGCGGTTACCGCGGCCCAAACCATCACGGACAAGGGATTTTTGCGTCTTATTGCTGTTCTGGTTGCCACAGATCCATCCCGACTCCAAACTCTGTAATTTTGACGGTTAACGCTTTGTTCAATGTTAAATTTTTTCTCGTCACTGAACACCAAGTTGGGCAGCGTGCCATCCTCAATCAGATCCAGAATGTGCTGGCATCTTTCGAGCCTCATTCGTTCATGACGGTCTGTTAGTAAATGCCAGCTGAGTTTGCATCTTGTAAGGAGAGGTTTTGAGGTCATCTTTGAGGACTCTACGCATTGACGTCTGACTGACTCCTGCTTCTGCAGTCAACTTTGCAGCTGAGCGACGAGGGTTTCTCCTCAGCTTCTCCCTCGTGTTTTTGGCCAATTGTTTTGTTCGGACACTTCGTTTCCTTCCTTGAACAGGTCGATTGCATGTTTCACCAGTTTCCTTGAATTTTTTACCATCTTCCACACAGTTTCACGATGAATTTGGAGCTTTTTTGCAATGACTGAATTACTCTCGCTCTTTCATGAAGGGTTACAATTGCATTTCTATCTACTGCCATAAGTAATAGTAAATTTAGACACCTTAGACTTCTGCAATATAAAATAGATGAATTAATAGATGAAATTAGGCTTAATTATAAAAGAAAAGTCTCCTAGAACCAATTTATTTTCATATAGCAAACATCCGTTGCCATAAATATGGCGGACCCTGTAGTCACAATATTCTCAACGTGCATCCAAAATGTTGAACTTAACGTGCCTGCAAAGCCAATAAGTATTGCGGTAAAAATAGTAATTCGGTAAGTTAAGCAAACGACATTTAGATTTTTCTTCCAGAAATTAGCTATTGCAAAAATAATCATATAATTAATGAAATTACTTCAGTGCAGTATAATTTGATATCCATTTAGAATTTCCAACGTCTTCTTTTAAGATTATTAAGCGATTCATCAACAACGCAAGTATAATTATTCAGATGATGAATGATTTTTTCACATGGAATAATCATCACAGCAGGTTTCAGCTCTTCATGCCATCATTGGAACTCACACCCATCATTTTTAATAATAAAGAAGAAAGAACGTAAATTACCAAAATTGAGCATCCGAGCAGACGGCAATGGCATAATTAGAATTGAAATCATCGGCACGAACCTCAAGCCCCCAAATTCTCAACATGCAAATAATAAGTATTCGTCAACTGAGAGGAGTCATCTATATATAGTGGCGTGAAGAAAAATGTCATTTAATTATCTACGAAACAGATGCATTTCTTCTTGTCTTGCTTCATCGGAAAGTAATAAGCAATTTATCAAACGTGATCTTCAATTACGCATCGTTATTGGCAACAAAACTATATATTTATATGTAATCAATTGCAGTTTAAAGACAGCATAAAATTATGAAAATTATCACTTGATCACATTCGATAGCTTATAAAAGACCGCATCGCCCTCCCTAGACCACTTCAGTACTCAGGATGGCTTCTCACAATGGCCATCAGCGAGCGGGGCCGCTGTTGCTGTTAACGATAGTTACGCTGCTTGGAACGGCCGCAGACGCCGTGGTGTTTCAGACGATCATGATGAACGTGACCGTACTTCGTCCAGACCTGAACATGACGGCAGCAGCGGCGTGTGAGTCAATATTAAACGAGATATTAATTATTCAAAATTAAAAAATCTAGGCATGGAACACTTTATGGAACTTTATCTGAATTTAAATTGTAAATATGGCGTGACAAATTAATTTGAGTACTTAAGTTCATAACAAAGACATTGTTTGAGGTGAACGATGAACAGCATTCATACATGCGGATGAAAACGTTTTGTATTCCGCATTTTAGCAGGCAAATAATATTTTTATTGCTAACTGATATTTATCATGAATTATATCGTAATATCATAGGGATTTAAATTCAAGGTTGAGAAAGAATAGGAATGATCGTAAGCTTATATTTAATTATCGCAACTTTTGGCAGAATAGATAATATATATGATTTAAACAAGATTCGCGGTATCGAGTTCCATAGAGTGTGAGTGTATTCGAGTGTGATCGTTCGCGGGGTCGAAATAATCAGCCCTTGACGATACGGAAAATTGAACTTCCAAACACGATTATTGATTATTTTCAATGATAATGAATTGTGCACTGCCATCGATATGACAAAAAATTTAAAAATTATAAATAACGATTTTTTTTGTAAGATTCAATATTTAGGACAATTTTCATGAACAAGCTAAATTATTCGTTCATTGTATCTTTACTCTTATGATAAAACTTAGTTTTAGCCTTAGAATTTCAATTATTTATTGTTTCTAATTCAATGAGTTTGAATTTCATGATAATCTAAAAAATATGTTAGGGCATCAAATTAAAATTAAAAACTTCAATAAACAATTGATTAAGAATAACCAATTATATTTATTAACAAAGGAATAAAAATTTGCGACGCAAAAATCAAAAGTTGGCCATCCTTTCGTTTCAAGATTAATCTACTATTTTTATCCATGACTTTCTTCATATTTTCATTTTAAATATTGAACAACCACAGTCTTGGGAATAAAACATTTATATTGAATTATGTCTCGCATTTTGAACGGTAGAACATTGATTAGAAACTCGACTTCCTAATAGCGTTCACCGCCCCTAAGTTCGGCGCAAAATTCTGGAACATCTAATAAAGAATCCTCACATTTTCCCGGACTGCTTCCAATACTTACAATTAACTCGAGGCTACCCCAGGTGAGTGCAAGGCGAAGTGCTTCGTGCTGCCCAAGTGCAGCGCTGCGTCGTATGACATTACGACGTCGGTGTGCAGCATGACGTACGACGCACCTTGCAACGTCACGACAACATTTGCTCCTGGCGTCATCAGCCTCTTTAAGTTTGGTGAGAAGCTAAAGTTGAAGAACAATAATTTATTCTATGAAGTTTCAGTGCTATTGCTATTACTGCTTGTGCGTCTTGTTGAAGGAATGTTAGCATTGTGTACTAGTACTAGAGACTTCATGCTTCTTTTTCGTATGCTGACTGATCCTTGTTTGCAGTTATTCGCGAAGCGTTCATCACAAAAGATATAACAGTCAACGGATCTCCCGACAACCTGAAGAAGATGTGCGGTGCAGAAGGCGGGGTTCCGCTCATCATCAACACCAAGCAACTGCTTCGAGAAGCTAGGCAGCTCGTCGCTGGTAATATATATATAGTGACTTGTAGGAGCAGCTACCGCTACATGTCTATATAGTGACTTGTAGGGACAAATGCTGTCCTGCACGCTAGCTCTCGCCACTCATGGTGAGCTTGGGTTGTGGCGTTACAGTTGAGTTAACTACATATTACTTCGAGTACTACAACACTGTGTCCAATATGATACTTTTAGAGAGACATTAATATATTATATATGCTCATCCATGAGAATTTTACCCAAGCCTGGAATCGCAGCTCGCAATCTATGAAGGAACACAAATGATTTAATGGTCGTTTTGTACGTTTTCTGCACTCAGCGTTTGCATGTCGTTTGCCCGGAGTCTACATCCAGTGGTAGCCAGCAGTATGCACATTATCTTTCTACTTTGTCTGTTGTCTGCACTCGGGAATTTTCAAGATGTTTACAGTCACTGTTAGCACATTCTGGCCGCCAACAGCTTTGACTAAAGCAAGTATATGGCACCGTTGATTTTACACGCGAAATAAATTGATGAAAGAAAAACTTGGAATCTTTAATGGAATTCCTGAAGCGACTTCTATTGATATTGACAAGAATATTAATTAAAATCGATCATAGTGAGATAAAAATAAGAATTTATGTTATGTTAGCTTCAATTTCCACATTAAATATATTAATTCAATAAGCTATTGCTGTCAGAGCTTTCTCTTTGCTGTTCAAAATTGTTGTTTTCATTGATACATTGACTAAACGAAAATTTTAAATTTTTTTAATTTTCTCAAAATTTTATATTAGAAGTATATATGAGCTTGTTGTTAATGTAAAATTGTCGAGACCTTTAAATTTACACATTTGATGATGCACAACGAGAATAAATAATAATATTTTCATTTGTGGTTGATTTCGAAATTAATACTGAAAATGTTAATTACATTTGTTGCTGCAAGCCGAGATTTGGCTTTTTATCGATATGTATGTTGATCCCTGTCCCTTGACGGAACAACGTTTTAAGTTCGATCCTAAATTCATGCATTATTAATGAATATTAGAATTTTATACCCGCAATAGAACATGCGCTAAATACAGAAAGGGTTCATGTGTGAACACCCGTGGAACAAACTATCTGTGGTTGATGGTGTGTTTAGAATTAGATCGTAGCCTTAGAAATACGAAATCGTCATTGATAATAAAAAATTCGTCAACGAAATTAAGTTGTTGTTTCAAATAGAGATAAATAAAATGATTCTCCTACAAACTGAATGCATCAAAAGAAGTTAAACAAATTTATTCTTTTTTATTTGATTCAAAGGAGCTCAATGTGTCTGGACATATGTATAACTCACTAATCTTAGGCTCGGAAAACCAATTCAGATCATCACTACGTTCATTGGTTACATTGGAATTGATTAAAAATTATCAACAATGAGCGACTTCTATTTTCCATCATATGTTGTATCCTTCTTATTTTTCTAGACGTCGTAAATCAGCCAAATCTGGTTCTAAAATTTCTTCAAAGGTCAACTGTGCCGCAGCGTAACATAACTGAGACATTAGCTGGAACAATCCTCGGTCAACAAACTGTTAGGAGGCTAATGTCTTCATAAATTATTTGAAAGTTTTACGGAACAGTTTATTTTGTTGTGTTTCGTGAAATACAAGCAGGCTAATCTGACATTTCCTTCTATATGAGAATATCACTATCCCGAATCTCGGCATTCAAGATTTGTCACTGCATTTTTAGAGATCGGTCCGATATTCATCTGACATTTCTATACGGTTTCTTCAATATTTGTTCAATATATTTTACTGAACTCATGTCGCTTAAGGTATATTAACCCTGCGATATGCGAATACCCTTATACCTACTCCCACCATCCCGTATCCCTTCATCCTAAATCCCACTATTTCGAATCCAATCATTCAAAATCTCGTCATCCTAAATCCCGTTCATAATAATACAACCTGAATTTCCACATACCATCAGAAAATTTAAGTTTTAGTATCATTCCTATGAGTACTACATTTCTCTGTCGCTCAACTTGGCTACCATCATGCATGATGGTTCAGTTCACTTACAGGCTCACCAATGCTTTACATAAATGTTTCACTATTTGATATGCGCAATTGTGTTGTGCAGTGTCACAGTCCTCACCACCTGATGTCTAAACATGATATGAATCATTACCGACAATGACATGCACCTGAAATCCAGAAATGTCTAAAGCTATATGTTCATCCTTAAAGAGAAAATTTCAGTTACCGAGAAAATTTCGACACAGTTGATGTGGGGAAATGCTATCCTATAATCCCAATATATTTATTTGACGGCCCCATTTGATACATAAATAAATAAATATCAAAATAAAGCCGTCAGTGTCCCCAGACATTTAACGTAACACCGTATAGTCAAAAGAAAAACGAATAAAACTAATGTAAACAAACAAAAATAATATTGATACAACCTATCAGTTACCAAAAACTGAAATCGAAACCATGTGTTTTCTTCAGGCCAACTATTGATGTCTACCATACTATGAATGGTCATACTATTATGGATGGATTTATTCTAGCTCTTATTTCGAAGCCTTTCTGCACACACAAAACGACAACAAAAATTAAGACCGATCGAAATGAATGAACTAGTCAAAGTAAAAATAAATACGGATCACGTAAGATTAATGAAGGAACAATATACCTACATATATTCACAATCAATAAAAACACTATTGAGCAACACGGATATGACCAACACAGAAATAAACACGACTAATTTACCCACGTAGCTCTGTGGTGGAATCACAAATCAGAATGACAAAGTATAACAGATTCCTACGTGAGGTCACGTCAGTGGTGACTGCAAACCTAACCGACTAATAACTAATATATAACACGTGGAGCTTTACATCTACTTTTTATATGGTGCGCATCATACTTAACCTTCACAAATACACGAAATATTGTAAATGTCTATTAGATTTGAGCAGGAACCACTCACGTTCTTTCATTAGATTATTTAATCAGTAGCAGAAGTATGATGGGGTTTTGAAATAGCGCTTTTCATAAAAGATCATTCGAATTATGAAAGCGTAGCTTCGAGGGAATGTGATATATAAGATTGAGTGGTGGCTATATTCATTTAATTAATCTGTTCTGTGGGCAACTTGTCCAAAATAATGATTTTATTTTGTTCAATAGACTTCGAGCCATTTTACCGAGATAAAGCGATGTATTAAGTCAATTCGACGCTTCCACCGTTGGGAAGAAATGAATTACATGAATTATGAGAAAATCTCAATTGAATTTCATCGGTTACTTAATTTCGATTCTCAGCATACGTTAATTATTAATTTGTCCATCTCTACCTCAGTGACTGTAGGAATGTCTGATGCCATTCAGTCTTTTTCAGGTTTTCAGCCAATTATCTTCTCAAATCAACTCGTAATTCACGAATTTCAAGAGATTTTTCGTTTCACATTCCACTCCACATCTTATATTTCACATTCCACAGAAAATCTAATATACGAAATAAGAAGTTCAGTGATTTGATATTTAGCTGGTGACTACAGAGAATGCACTTCTATTTTTATCCAGCTCGTAAAAAGTTTTTTTTTTACCAGCACAGTCACAGAAGAAATATGAGATGCGCGAATTGAACGCATTGAAAGTATGTATGGTATGTGTGTGAGGCAAGTCGATTCTGAATAAAGTATATAGCTAGAACGGTCCGTAACAAACTTAGACTTCCTATTTAACTCGAGAAATTGTTTCTTATTACGCGTTCTCCGTAAATGTATACGCACTACCGATGATTGAGTTAAGTCCTACTCAGTAATCATTAGCCAATGGCTGTTGCAAATGAAACCGGACTTTCAAAAAATTCGTACAATTTTTTCATTTTACTCTGTCATGTCAATGAATTTAAAAATGTAAGTTCAGTAATTAATGAATTTAATAAATTAGTGTTAGCAGTGACCGTAGTTTATTCGCAACCACGACAAATATTTTCATGTAAAATCTTGCAGAGACTATGAATTTAAAAGTAGTGAGAGAAGTTGATTTAATAGAGAATTCATAAATTACTGATGTCGCATATGTTATTGGATTGCCATCATAAGCATAGGTTCCATGGTTTTGACGTGGTTGACCTCAACGAGGAAGTTCAAATCCGACTTAGATTATAATAATTACTGGCTGAAAGGTGCGATTGAAGGGAAAATGGAAAAGTTACGGTAGTTCAACATTGAAGTGAATGACTCCCAAAAATGGAATGATATTAAAATTCAATTATAGCAAAATCTGTCGGGAAATCTAATTCCTTACCAACTGAACCGTAGCTCAAGAAATTCATAGTTTTCTTGCCTCTGTGTAAAGAATGAATTACTTGCGCTAGATGAAAATGATATTTATTTACTGATGACGGAGTTGGTCTCCGAAAAATTTTCACGAAAATTATTTTTATTTTTTTTTGCGTTTTCGTTGGTTCTAAGTTCTTACTGTTGCAATTGAAATAGTATTTTAAACAGACTCGACTAGTTTTTTTTTATTTTCAACTAGGTGAACGTAGGATAAGTGAGATGGAACGTACAAGTACTGGAACGAAAGATAAGTGAGATGAGTTGTTTATGAATAAATTAGGCATTTAGAAAATAACTGTAGCCAATATACCCGGATTATAATTAAACACGGCAATTGAGTTCATTTAAAAATTTTGCAAAGACTGTCAATTTCACATGAGAGACAGAAAGCGTTTTTGAATTGGGTATTTGTTAAAATGCTGTTTCAATGCTCTGAGGATAATGAATTGCTCAAGTTTGTGAAATACGATTTAAGTTTCAAAAATTTTAAGTCAAAATTATAATTCAAATACGATTTAATTCAAATTCATGATATTCATCCAAAATTTGGGTCATTGTGAAGTAAATGACATTTCTCGAGTTGTGTGAGAGTCTTATTGAATTTGAACAAATTCTGGCCGGAAACCTGAATCTTCACCAACTGAATTGATGCTTAAGAAATTCTGTTTCATATAGTAAAATGAATGAATTCCCGGAGTTCCTGGCGAGCAGATTTAAATTGTAACGCTGTTGGCGCGACATCTTTCATACGATTGGCCATTGTCAACATATGGATTTGAGTGCCCTTTTTCTGTAAATTACAAACATAAATTTCATTTATGTGTACAAATAACATAAATTACCAGAACATAGCTGAGAATTTTCTCATATATACCACATGATTCGATATAAATATTATTACACCTATTTATTTATCATATTAGTGTTCAATATATTCACAATGAGTGGTGACGGCGAATTGTAGAATATTTGCACAAAATCTTGGATGATGATTTTATTATGCATCGTCAAAATGTTGGTGACCGTCATTTGTTGAGATGACCGAAATGTTGGTGACCGTCGTCGAGTAAGGTTGTGCGTTGCGCGCTCTCGTACTCTTCATTCCACTAAAAACTGCCAGTTATGGCTAGTGATACCGAAAGTGAGACGAGTTCCACCTGCTCTGTGGCATCTGTCGGTGTTGGCAGTGTCTCTATGAGGGAAGATTTAGATAAAGTGAATAAGATGCTGTCCTTTCTGAAGAACTTCAGCCCTGAAAAGAAGAAAGCGGGTCGACCGGCAAAATCTGCCAATGTTGTCACTCCAAATGCCCAAGTCTGGACAAGGTAATAAAAGTCTTTGACGCTATCTATTCTCTAAATGTTAGAATGTTGGGCAGCATTGATAGCCTAGTCGCTATGAACACCAAACTTAAATGCGACCTCGAACATCTCCTTGAAAAGCAGGCTTCCTTGCCGAGCTACTCTGAAGTGATTTCGCGCGGCATTTCTTCACCTGATGTGTCTGTTACTGTGCGCCGCTCTGCTATCCTAGGTAATGTTTCACGTATGCCAAGTAATGCTAATGTAAATTCTTTTGGCCCGAGCATGCTGCGCCTTGAAAAACGCCTGGACTCCGTCGAGCAGGACTCGCTTGAGAAAGTAATGGCTTGCCAAGGTAGTGCTGTCCTGTCATCGAATCTTCGTCCGTCTCCACTGCTGGGAACAATGTTGATGCAGTTAGAAACCCCGAACGTCTCAAGCAGAAGTTTGTAGACAAGATAAACGAGTACGATAATGGAACTCTTCGAGCCGCTGACATCGAGGCCCTGGACGTCATACCCAGTTAAAATTTTGAGCCGAGACCGGCGCCGGGTTTAGCAAAGGCTGGTCGCGCTTTAGCAGGATGGAGCCGTGAAACAATAACCGGACATCTATCCCGAAAACTGCGCTGCGCCATGGCTGATATAGAGACAAAATTCTAGCAGCTCGGCAGGGCCGGAACTCTGCGCTGTTTTAGCGCTGGTACTTGGGATTGTCCGGCAGGGAGCTGAACAGAGCAGATACGCAGGTGTACTCAGAAGCTAATTAGCGCTGATACGCGGCTGGCGATATCGTCTCTAAAGCGGACATTTCTGCTCTATCGCTGCTCTGTCGCGTCTCTACGCCGGCTCTGCAGCCGGCGACGGCCTGCTCTATTCCCTGCCCTAAATTTTAACTGGGTAGGGAAGGAAACCAAACATTTACGGGTGACCTCTGTCTCAAAGGAAGCTAGAAACCGTACTCTGGTGGCTGTGAAGTGGAAAAAACCTGAAAATTTATTTGCAAATGAGTATTTGACTAAAGTGCGTGCTGCTCTCCTCTTCAAGCTCAGAACTCTAAAAAAGCCAACAATTCTATCGAGTGAGCGTACGCGTGGCAAGGTCAAGTTTATGTTAAGACTACGTCGAGTGTTAAGGTTTCCTACATCAACTCTGAGTGAGACCTGATCAAATTTGAAGAATCGCTGGCAGATTCTAATGCCTGATGCTTTTTAAACATGCTTATTGTCTATATATTCACTATCATGGCTGAATTCACTTATCCTACTCTGTCTCTAAGTTATGATCTTGTCGCTGATATTCCTGTTGTGAATTGTGAAATCCTTGACTGTGATACCTTTTTACAGCGATCAAGAAACTTTACCCACGAATATTTTTCACTCGACCATCACATGACCGTTTTTTTTTTGTTTTCGTAAAAAAATTTCGTAAAATATTCGTAAAAATTTTGACCAATTCATGGTTTTCCTTAGCTCAGTGAATTTTAAATTTACTATCATTCTACTAACGTA